TAGAGAGAGTGAAGAATGGTGTCTAGAGATGGATGAACATGCAGGCAGTGGTGTTACACCAATGAAGAAACCTGACCCATATACGAAAGTAGATTTTTGAAGTAGAATGCCTACTTGATCGAAGCAAAAGAGAAACTCTGTTGTCTTGCAGACCTTGATGACGAAGAATGAACCTAGCAGTAGCCAGGCCGTCAACCTGAACATCTTCAGAACCTCTAGTTGTAGATTCCTGTTCACTATGAGATTGTTCGAGATTGGAAGTTCCCAGTGTGTGGAGGCCATCTTTTTTAAAGTCGAGAACCAAACACTGTTTGGCCAGTACCGAATAATAGCCAGGATCACAGCTCTGTCTGCTCTTATTTTCTGAAGAATCCTTGGAATTAGCTTCAGCGGAGAAAAAAAGTAAGCCAGCCTGAAATTCCACATCATTGACAATCCGTCTATCCACTGAGGGGGATCTGCTCTGAACAGGGAGGTGAATTGGGTAACCTTGTTGTTTGTACTTCGTAGCATCAGGTCTATGTCTGGAACTCCAAATTTCCTTTTCAGACTGTCGAAGGTTCTTGGATTTAATGACCATTCTTTCTGGTCCCACTTTCCCCTGCTGAGATTCTCGGCTATGATATTGTCAATCCCTCTTATGTGTGCTGCAAAAATATACTCTAGATATCTTTGTGCCCACTGCATAATTTCTGCGCACAGGAGATGAGCTCTTACTCTGGTTCCTCCTTGTCGGTTGACGTACGAAACCACTATACAATTGTCTGATTGAATCCTTACTGCCTTCTGCTGTATCCACGGTCTGAAGTGATGAAGGGTGAACAGCACTGCTTTTAACTCCTTGAAATTTGCGGATTCTCCCTTTTCCTTGACTGACCATGCACCTTGATACATGATGCAGCCTAGATGAGCTCCCCAACCTGTTTTGGATGCATCGGTAGTGATCACAGAAAGACAAGTCTCTTGAAAGGAACTCTGAGGGCGGGTGACACGGTGTACCGGTGTACCTCTTCTGGCAAGCATCCATGCTGTCAGTAGGTACCTGCACAGCTTTATATGTGATACAATTCAAATTTCGCATTTATTTATTTTTTTTAAATGAAAGTTCCGGTTTGCGCATGCGCAATAGCCCCGCCGTAACTTTTGGTGGAACCATCACCTCGTGGGCGTGCGTTCCACCACTGTGTGCAGGGCTAATTACGTCCTACCTGTGCCAAGGATCGGCTCCATGAAGACGCTGGAAACCTTCTCGACATAAGAGCGCTTTAGAATCTTCACTCCGTAACCACTGAGGCAGGAGCATGGCCGCTCAGCATACCACCCGGGCATCTATCGGGTCGAATCCCCCAGACCATAAACCTGTGTGTCTCACCTCCCAACAGATGCCGGTCCATTCCTGACAGGGACAAGGAAGGAACTGGGGTAGGTTTGCCTTAGTAGCCCTTTACATGGCAAGGGGGAGGGATTTGCTCATTTTAATTGTCTTACAGGTGCTTGTCCCAGGGGGAAGAGCAAACCCACAGGTACTGCCACCATATGACAGAAAAAACAGGTTGTGCTGAATACCGTGTGTATGAAGTCCAATAAAACTATTATTTTGGAAAATTGATGAGTGATAAGTATATCAAGTGTACATAGTATTAGCCTGTCACATGTACTTGAAGCCCCTTGTTTGGTGAAATGCGTTGTGTGTGTTTTACTATTGGTTTTAAGCATTAAAGTTTATATGGTTAACCCCTATTTTATAGTGCAAGATCATTTATTATATTTAGTATTTATTGTTCCTGGCACATTTAAAACTCCTAATCTACATCAAATCTCTGGCAAGGATTGTCTTCAGGAGAATCTACTCAACATTACATCCTTGGTGCGGATTATACTACCCAAGTGCTATCTCTTGAGTGGTATTACTGCTCTGCTAAACGTAAGTAAATTGCCATTTGAATTTTTACCTATTTTTGGTTTTAGTAATAGTAAGCACTATTGTTTGCTTTTTCTGTTTTACTTTTTATATTTATCTGGATGCTGTGAGACTTACCGCTAAATATCCACCAGTGGGGATTATACCTCTGCAGGCTGTTTTAGTTTAGCTGTTCTATAGCTCTAACAAATGTGAGTGATCTTACAGATCCTTGTTGTGTGTCCTACACTAAGTATTTGACTATCTGCACTGCTATTGATTATTTTCTTATTTGTTACATATACTCATCACAAGCTGAAGCCTGGGCGATTCTAAGCCAGGATCTTCCAAATAATTGTTTTGGACTTAATACACACAATATTCAGCACAACCTGTTATTTGTGTTTTGTATCACTTCCATACATGACAGCACAATTGCAATGTCATTGCACACTGTTACATAGTTTGTCATCTATAATTGTTCCCAAGTCCTTTTCATTTATCATTTATTGTTATCCCTAACTCAAACCCATTTAATGTTTAAGTGACTTGGGGGTTCCTTATTCCACAATGCATGACTTTGCATTTATCTGTATTGAATCTCATCGGCCACTTTTCTGCCCAAATCAAACTGTAGAGAACCTATATCATGTTCATTCAGACTGTATTATCTTGCCTAGTTTTGTGTCATCTGCAAACACTGACATATGACTTTTAATGTTTAGTTCAAGATCATTTATAAACAGATTAATGAAAAGTGGATAAAGGACAAAATCCTTATGCACTCCACTTTTAAAAACTTATGGCTTCTCTCTGCACTTTGACTTTAAGTCACTGTTCCATCTAAGAACAAAATGTTTCAACAAAACTAACTGACTTTAGCTTTAACCCCTTAAGGACACATGACATGTGTGACATGTCATGATTCCCTTTTATTCCAGAAGTTTGGTCCTTAAGGGGTTAAATATCAATAATAATAATAGTAGTATACTTAACCCCTTAAGTAAATAGCTTCAAAAGCTTGTCTTGCACTTAATGACACAAGCATTTTTTGTTATTTGCGTTCAACTGCAATTTGCATTTTACAAATTTATTGCACCGACACATATACCGTTTTTTTTAAAGGACAGAAAGGGCGTTAATTTGATGAAACTTTATATATTATATTTGTATTATAACAAGATTTTGCAGACGGCCTTGGACAAGTGTTATGAGACACAAATAGCAAAACCCCCAAATAGCGAAAGACTTGTCTTCCCATCCACGTATACCACTATGTCACACCATCTTAAGGAATCACTGGACCGCAATTGGAGAATGATGAGAAATGATGAGTCTCTCCCACAAGCTTTCAAAGATCCCCCTATGATGTGCTATTGCAGAGGAAGAAACCTGAGGGACCTGTTGATCAAAACAGACCCTACCCACTGCTACAACCCTCAATCAAAACATCTGAACACTGGTTGCTATAGATGTTTGGGCTGTGTGACTTGCAGCCACATGATCCCAAGTAAGTCATTCACACATCCCCACACAGGGAAGATATTCACTATGCGCCACCGCCTGACATGCATGAGTGACTTCGTCATTTACAAATTGATGTGCCCTTGCAGCCTTTCGTACATAGGAAAGACAGACCTCCCATTACGTGAAAGGATCCGCAACCACTGCTCCAGCATTCGGGTGGCCTATAGAGACAATGGTTCAGACTTACCAGTGGCAAAACATTTCCTCGAGCATAATCATCCTTTACCGAGTATGAAATTCCTGGCGATCGACCACATACCCTTACCCATACACGGCGGTGACTGCAAAAAACTTTTATTATAGAAAGAACTCTTCTGGATAAGAACTCTCGACACGGTACATCCCAAAGGACTCAATGAAAAGTACTCCCTGGGAATATTCCTATGATGCATCAACTATATCCAGTATTTTTAAGAGATCCCTCTCTACATACCTCAAAACAGAATGCACGTGTCATGGTTGATTATATATTTCCTGCCTGTTCTATGTTAAATTGTGTATTAATATTGTTTTTGTATTTTGTTGTACCTAATGTAACAATGCAATGATTTGTGGACCCAGGACATACTTGAAAATGAGAGAAATCTCAATGTATCTTTCCTGGTAAAATATTTTATAAATAAATTATAAATAAATAAATTTTTGTTAACATACTCTGTACTAGTATTCTGCACCACTGATCGGGCAGTATGTAAAGTAGAGAATTACCAGATTTTACTAATTACATGACGTAAAGTCATGATTTTATAAAGGACATGGAGGCGAATATTATGCTTATCTCTTTCTTTATTATACCTCAGCAGCAAAGAGAAGGTATAAACATTCATAGAAAAAAGTTTTAACAGGTTCTCCAAGGGTTAACCTAACATCATACTCTTAACCAATAGGAACAGTCCTTCTATCTATAACTACCCATGTGACCTTTCCTCTCCCTCTTTCTTTGGTCATGCCGAAGCTGTATCTTTATAACTTGAGAAGACACTGGAACGCTTTATCCGTTGTGTCGAACTTTCCCATATCCCGAACTTGTAGGAACTTGTCTGCGTGAACTGCGGTGACAACTGGTCATCCATGGTGTCGCTGATTGTGAATTAAGCTGTAATGGGACAGAGAAAAAAGTGGTAAAATATGGTCTGAGGAACTGTTTATCACAATGGTAGTGACTAAATCTTAGTATATGCATTAGGTACTACAGACTCACTAGTATCGAAAAGAAAAATTATCGTCCTAAATAATCGACTTAATTTGATACAAAAGAAGACACCACAACGACCCTTATTCTATTGTTTATTGGGTGGGAGTTTAACTCTTCTTCGCCGATATAGGCCTGATATACTTACCGGGTGGGCCAATATTCGCCTCCGTGTCCTTTATAAAATCATGACTTTACGTCATGTAATTAGTAAAATCTGGTAATTTTATTAAAGGACACGGAGGCTCATATTATGCTAGTTTAAAGCTGTGCAATGACTGTTGATGATACGTGGTCTGTAGGGTGAAAATAATATTCCTTAAAGGTGGATTCGTGAGATCAATCTGCCGTCCGTAACAAATCTTCAAGCCTGCATCCCAAGTTGAATAGTTTAGATGCCATAGCTCCTCTAGTGGAGTGCGCTCCGTATACTGAGGTATCTATGTTTGCAGAGGTCATTATCCACTTCACCCATCGGGCTATCGTTATTGAAGATACTGGCTGGTGTGGTGAATTGACGGCCAGAAATAGTTCATGCTGTCCAGAGTTTCGAAATGCCTGTGTCCGTATTTCATACTCCTTGAGGCAGGCTATTGGGCACAGGTTTTTGTTGTGCGGGAATGCTGGATATGACACTGATGCTGTTGCTGATTTAGTACGTCTGGAAATGTTGAAAGCTACTCCCGTTGGAGTGAACGTACGTGCGTCGACGTCCAATGCCTGGACATCCGAGACTCTTTTACAGGATATTAGGCATAAGAACATGGCCAGTTTCGCTGATAGTTGTTTCAGTGTGAGGTCAGAATTCTGTGGCCATTGTTCCAAAAGATTTAAGACCAAATTCACGTCCCATACTGTACTATACCGGGGTCGTGGTGGTCTTGCCAATCGAATTCCGCGTAGGAGCCTGCATACCAACAGATGTTTACCCGCTGGGAGTCCTTCAATACCCTTGTGTCCAGCTGATATCGCTGACCTGTATACATTGATGTTCGGTACGCAAGTCCTTGGTCGTATAGGTGTGTAATAAAACGCAACAGGTGATTTACAGGAGCACATACGGGATCCACGAGTTGTTCCATGCACCAACCACTCCAGATGTTCCAAGCGTTAGAGTAGGATCATCGTGTTCCAGGAGCCCAGGCTCCCGCCAGAAGGTCGAGAGTTGTTTGCGGAACGTTTGGCACGACCCAGGGTCCCCGGAAAGGATCCACGCTAACAACCTGAGTTGTCCCTGCACCATCAGAGGGTGTGGGTTCCCATCTGGGTCTGAACGGAGACGTGGGTGCTCGGGCAGCATTCTGGGGAGATCTGTGGACATCTCCATGAGTAAAGGGAACCAAGGCTATGCAGTCCAGAATGGAGTTACGAGGACCAGGGATGTCCGTGCTCGGTCGAGGTGCACTAGTGTTCGTGTCAGCAGGGCGAACGGAGGGAACACGTATAGTAGTTTGTTCGGCCATGGTTGAAGAAATGCGTCTGTAGCTAACGCGTCTGGGTCCGGTCTCCAGCTGAAGAATTCTGGGAGTTGTGTATTCAACCGTGACGCAAACAGGTCTATATACATCGGACCCCATAGCGTTTGCAATCGTAGGAACGTCTCTCGGTTCAGGCGCCAATCGCTGGTATCCCGTAGGTGTCTGGAGTTCCAATCTGCTACGGTATTCGAAAGTCCCGGGATGTATTCGGCTTGTACTGTTATGCTGCGTTCTAAGCAAAACTGCCAAAATTCTGTGGCTAAGTCTGCTAAAATTTTGGACTTGGTGCCGCCGAGGCGGTTGATGTACTGTACGGCTGATACGTTGTCCATCCTCAGGATGATGGAGCAATGCGTCACGGGGCCCAGGAGGCTCTTCAGCGCGAATGATCCTGCCATTAATTCCAGGCAGTTGATATGTAGTGTCTTCTCCGATTGGGACCATTTTCCGCCTGTGGAGGTATGTCCACAGCGCGCTCCCCAGCCCCGTGTGCTGGCATCTGATTCTATTACGCAATCTGGGATGTTGCCGAAGATTGCTCTGCCGTTCCACGCTTCCATGTGGTGTAGCCACCACCTGAGCTCCTCCTTGGCTGTGTGATCGAGTGGTACAGAGTCTGAGTAGGAGTGTCCTGAGCGTAGCTGTGCAGCTTTTAGTCTCTGCAGGGCCCTGTAGTGCAAGGGTCCCGGGAAGATCGCTTGTATGGAAGCGGAAGGGAGTCCAATTATTCTGGCTAGTTGTCTGACTGTGAGTGTCGGGCGAGCCAATGTTCTGCGGATCTCCTTCTTGATGATTTTCATCTTTGTGGGTGGTAAGCTTAGGGTCCCTAAGACCGCCCCTATCTCGAATCCTAGGAATTCTAAGGACTGGGAGGGGATTAGTACCGACTTCTCCCAATTGATTAGAAATCCCAGGTTTTGTAGTAGTGTTATTGCCCAATCTAAGTGTTGTTGTAGTAGTAGGGTGTCTTGGGCCATGATCAGCATATCGTCCAGATATATGATCATGTGAACCCCTCTGCTGCGTAGCAGCGCAACCACTGGTTTCAGCAGTTTTGTAAAGCACCATGGTGCTGATGATAGGCCAAACGGTAGGCACTGGAACCTCCATGTCCGAGAGTCCCAACTGAATTGCAGGAGATGCTGACACTCCTTTGCAACGGGGATGGTGAGATATGCATCTTGGAGGTCTAGTTTGACCATCCAATCCCCTAGCCTGAGAAGATCTCGTAGGCAATGAATCCCTTCCATTTTGAAGTGATCATATCTTACAAATGCATTGAGTGGGCGTAGGTTGATCACTGGTCTTACCCCACCGCCTTTCTTGGGGACCAGGAACAGATTGCTCATGAAGCCTGGGGAGTGAGGTGCGACCTGATAGATCGCTCCCTTCTCCGCCAGTGCCCTGATTTCCTTCGACACAAGTTCTCTGTCCTGAGGGGAGAACACCATCCGCCATGGCATTGCGGATTGGATTGGGTCTTTGACGAATTCTATATGTAACCCTGCTACCGTGTTGAGGATCCAGGCATCGGACGTGAGTCTGTGCCATGCCCTGATAAATTTGCAAAGTCTGCCCACCACGTGTGAGGTACGAGAGAGGGAGAAGGGGAAAGCACTTACCATAAGGTCGTCGGCCGTATGTGGAACCCCTGTAACCTCTGGGCTGCCACGATCTGCCACTGACCGAGAAGAAAGGTGTGGGGGTTCTGGTCTCCGTCTGAGGGAACCGTGGTGTCGTGAGGCCTCGGTAGCCCCGGTGGGAGCTCCGTGATGGGCGGCTGGACAGACGGCCTCTGTACCTGCCAGCCCCTCCAAAAACCTTCGGGGAGAACACCCGTTTCAGGTTTGTCTGTGCCTTATCCAGGGCCGTAAATGTGCTCACGTAGTTGCCCAGTTCTTTTACAAAATTGTCTCCGAAAAGGAGGCCTTTTGCCTGGGGTCCAGGCTCGGTTATGGCCATGTTGACCAGTTTAGGGTCTATCTTCATGAGAATTGCCTTCCGCCTCTCAGTACTAAGTGCGGCATTGGAGTTGCCGATGAGGCAGATAGAGCGTTGCGCCCACTCCCGGATCACTAAGGGATCCAGTGATGCGCCGCCTGAGATTGTCGCTTCGACCAAGTCGAAGATTTTTGCGCTGGGACCCAAGGAGTCCAGCACCTTATCCTGGCAGTGGCGAAGGGAGTAGTCTAGCCCTTTTTTGGCTTTCCAGCCAGCCTTACCCAGGAACTGGGCAATCTTGGGGTCCACCTCTGGTGTGGCGCAAGCCATATCGGAGACCGTTGGGCGTGGGCACTCTGCCCTTAACTTATTCCTGGCTGTTTTATCCAGGGGCTTCCTGATCCTGGCCGCTATATATTGGGCCATGTGGTCCGCTGGGAACCAGTCTGTAGACCTAGGGTGTTGTAGGTCGTCTGGGTTAAATAGAGGCTCACCCTGGGGGTCTAGGATGATGGAGTCATCCGTGAGCGCTTTTCCCATAGTTGGTGTGACTGCCCGGCTGCGCTCAGGGGAAGAGTTTCCCGATTCCAAAGAGCCGATATCCTCGGACTCACTCATTACCTCCTCTATGTCCGAACCAGAGTCGGATGTCTCTGTTTGGGCTTTTGCCCATCTCCACGTCCTCACCGTTTTTGCCCGGTGGGTGGCTCTTTTGCGTGGGGGCCCCACGTCCTCAGTAGTGACAGGGCGTGTCCTGTCCGTCGTGCTGTTTTTGGAGGTGTGTTTGCCCGTATGGTGGGTCTTCTCCGTAGCCTTACGGCCGCCGAGGGGCTCAGGCTTGTCAGTTTGGGCTTTGGGGCGGAGGCCGCTAGGGTTTGTGTTAGACGCCAGTATGGCGTTACTAATGGACTGTGTCAGGGTTTCAGACATCGCCCCCATAGCCGTGACTATAGCTTGGGTGACCGATTTGGTCATGGTTGCATCCAGAAGCGAGTGAAACTCCTCCGAGTTCAACTGATCCATGGATACCACGTCCTCTCCCAATGGCGAGCATGGGGAATGGTGCTTTTACTGGCATCAGTGGGTGTGGAAAACCCTTGGTCCCTGAGGTGCTGCATTATAGGCAGGTTATACACAAAAACCACCTGGGACGTAAAACTTGGAAACTAATATGGCAGGGTATACTGAGTGACACAATGAATTTTTGCCCCAGACTGTAACCAGTGTTGTAAGAAAATTGTCCCTGGTAACCCTATGCAGGGAGTGAACAGTAGTATTAACTGGGCAGTGAGCACTGTTAATTATGCAAAAGGGGGATTCAGGCACACACAAAGGCTGTCAGCTTACCGAGTGTTCCCTCCGGAATGGCCGCCAGGGAGCACTGGCAAGCTGTCAGCCAATGGGTGAATGCCCGCCCTCTGGTACAGGGGGCGGGTGGGGGAAAAAAGAGCGGCAAAACTAGAATGGCTGCTGGCAAATGGCCGCCGAGCCGTGCGGCCGTTACTGCGCATGCGCGAGCGGTCTCTGGATTCGGATCGCTCGCGCCGTGAACGGCCGCCGCGACCCGCTGAGAAGACAAGTGGAACGGGTAATAAACTACCCGAGGAGGTGAGGGAAGGGGGGTTAACTGCCGGAAGGGGGGGGGGGGAAACCCCAGGGAAGCCGGCTATCTGCACCGGGGGCAGATATGCGCCGGTCTATACAGCAGGGGGATTAACACAAATCACATCAATTAAATAGCTGCAAATAACAGAGGAAACCTGACATAAAAACAAATATGATTTAACCAGCTAAATAGGTTGCTCTGAGGAGAGCTAAAATGAGATGGTACTTAGCTGAGGCAGCAGCAAAGAAAGAGGGAGGGGGTGGGGGCCGGGGGGGAGGACAGTAGGTCCCCCCCCTCATTATCTTCATGGCCCCCACCCGCCACTCAGGGTGGGGGTGGGGGGGAGGACAATAGGTCCGCCCCCCTTATTGTAATTTGTCATTTTTTTCAACAGTGAGCAGCCACAGGCTGCTCACTGTTTAGTACTCATGCCCCTACTCGCGGTATAGCGAGTAGGGGCATTTGGGAGATTTTAATCTCTCTTGTGCTATTATGGGGGTCATATTGACCCCCATAGAGTGAGAGGGGGTACTGGTGGGTCTTATGAAGTGGTGGGGAGCACTGCTCCCTG